CAAAAGTTTGTTTTAGTATATCACACTACATAATAAGTAGGAGAAAGGGAACCTGAGGAGGAAGCAGGAAAAATGGGACATTTATGGGAGGATGAGGGATAGAGGAGGAAAGATGAAGAAAAAATAGAAAGGAAGGAGTGGTAGACAAAGACGAATAGAAAAAAAAGAATTTATTGCTATTTACATATATATGAAAGCCTGAAAACTGCCATGAGACTATTTTAAAGCAAGTGTCATTCTCATTTTACAGATGAACAAATTCAGGCATAAATATGCTAAGAAGCATGACCAAGGTAAAAGTGACAAGTAAAAAATGAAAGCATCTCAAAATTTCAAATTACCATATTAAAAGAGCAATTTTTATGCAGTTCTACTACTCTGTAAATATACTATTTTTTGGTAAAAATTGGTATTTTTGAGATTAGAAGGGCTAGAGAATTATTGAATGCTTAAATTTTTTGTAAGTCTTTGAAAATGCTTTTGAGAGTTTTGACATAGAAAAAATAAAACAATAGAAGAATGAAGCTCTTGAGGTCAAGTTTCTTGGAGAAAAGATTAAAGAAAAAAGAATGGGCTGATACTGGAAACATTCATCAACTTTAGCTTTTAGAGTTTTTGCCAGTGCTCTTGAATCATCGACTTATCATGAGATAAGCGTCTGACATTTTACACAAAAGAAGTGAGACAGGGATAGTTAGTAACTGAAAACATTCATAGTTCCATTTTTTAATGTATTTTCTATATATTTTGATGTTCCAATAAAGGCTTAAGAATGATATATAATAATATTTTAAATCTGTTATCCATTTGATCACCCTTGATAATCATTTTATTTTAATTATTAATGGGAAATACCTAAATCGGTTAATTTAATATCTCCATCTGCATTGTTTTATTATCTGTTAGTAAGTTATATGCTAACACAATGTTAAATTTTATGCATCTTTCTGGGGACAACCAGGAGGAATTTAGCCATTCGATGGAATGGTTTAATTAAATGTCTTTTTTTGTAATATATTTACATTTATTCCATTGATAATTTCATTTAGAAAATGTAAAAATGTATACTCAAGCATTGTAGTCAAGACTATCAAGACTATCGCTGCTAAGCATGAGTGTATTGTCAAGACTATCACTGCTAAGCATGATTGTATTGTCAAATCCACTTATCACTCGATTATGCACCAATTTATTATATATGTTACGTAATACAATGAATTATATCGTTAAAATCTTTGTGTCGAGCACAATCTTAATGTTGGAGATAGAGCAATGAAACAAAAAGTAGAGTTGTCGTACAAGGAGTAGGCCAAACAAAATGCAAAATAAAAAGAGGAACGTGAACAATATGTTAAGTGATGATAAGTACTAGTGAAATAAAAATAGAGCAGGGACAGGTACAAGATAATATTGGCATATTTTTCTAATATTAAATAGATATCTGGGAAAGGTCCTCAAAGAAGATGCTGATTTGTTTTGAGGAGGGAATATTATCCAACATCACTTAACAGGTTGGTTCTGGTTGCTATGTAGGGAATATTTTGAAGGTACTAAGGACAGAGGCAGAGAAATGATTTAGGAGTGCTGGCAGTAGAGGTGGTAAAAATTTGTCAGCGCCGGATATATTTGAAGGTATCACTAGGAAGATGAACTGTATGCCAAGTGTGAGACTAAAAGATGAGTCATGATTCCTGTAAGTGTTTGGCCATATACTGACTTGGAAAACTCTGTGGAAAATTTTTTTGGGAGAACAAATGTTTGGTTTTAGATTTACTAGGAGTGGTATGTCTAGGAAACATTCAAACAGATAGACACCTGATACATAGATACGTAAATAAAAGGATTTGGAATGAGGAGAACAATGTGAGTTGAAATTATATGTTTATCAGTCATCAATAGGCAGATGATATTTAGAGTTTATTGGTCTCAATAGGTAAATGACCAAAGATAGTGGAAGTTCTGATGACTGAATTGGTGACAGGCCACACACAATAAGGCAGATGATGAAGTAGCAAAAAGACAGTAAAGAAAATGAAGTAAGCTTTAAAAAAAAAAAATGATTGTGTTATCCTGGAATTCAAATAGCAAAAATGTGTTAAGGAGGTGGATGTGATTAGTTGTGGCAAATGTTGCATATACACAGAATAAGATACACCTGAAAAATGGTCTTTGGATTTAGAAAGATATTCACCACCAGCTAACAGGTGATGTCATCGAGTTCATATTTTGAGAAGTGATGGGAAACGGGGTGGATTTAGGAGAAGGAAATGCAGGCAGAAAATATGAACTGTAGCTGAAAATAATGAGCAAATATTACTAAACTATATATCCTACTCAAGATATTTGGAAATTTATATCTAAAGTAAGCATGTCAATGGATAATTATTAAGAAGTTAAGTATAGGGTCTCCCTGGTGACACAAGGGGTTAAGATGCAACCTATGAAGATGTCTACAGCCACTGAGTTAGATTCCTGGCAGGCCAGGGAGCACCCCACATGGCGCATCAGACCTGTCCTTACTTGCCTGCTGCTCCCCTCAGCAGTGTACTTCAGTCAATCCGCCTGTTCTGTTCCCCATTCTGTCTCTGGTGAATCCTCTCACTCCCCCCACACCTCTGGCCTGTACCCCAGTTCTTGTATGCATAAATAAATAAATCTTTAAAAAAAAGAAGTATAAATTTTGTTCTATTATCACAAAGTTAATCATTTCATATTTTTCCTTTGATTTTGTGGATTTTTATCTCACAGAATGATTTTAAAAATTAAATGTACATATGTATACACATATATACATGTATATGTGTAAATGTATAAACATACAAAAATTGTATGTATACATATATACAGTCTCCTTTATGTCCAAGGCACTATGATATTATATGCTTTATATACATATAAAATTGTAAAATTCCTTATTTCCATATATATGTATATATGTTATATATAATTGTAAAATTCTTTATCTTTCATATATATATGAATTATTCTTTTCACTGTAAGCTTACAGAATAGATTTTATTAGCCTATTTCTAAATAATTGTTCTGGGGACCAGCAATTATGAGTTTCTTGAGCCTTGATAGATATAATTGATGTAGCAGGGATTCATTCTGGATATGCTTAGTTCCAAAGTACATGACATTTAACTTTTACTACTTTATAATACTGCATTTATTAAAAAACAGGGACTAAGTCACAAGCAATATTTCTTTTGCATGCTAGGTAGTACCAATTCCAATAAAAAGCACTTAATATGACTTTAATAAATAGCTGTTAATTTGTGTAAGAAAAATAATATCTAAACAACTAATAAAATTATTGTTTCTCATGTTTACAGATATGAACTGCTAGGAATCATGAAATAAAACATTGCAAATTAATCCAGATATTTTCCTTCAAATGTCTTGCCATACAATGATACAATTTACCAAATTACTAAACTAAAATAGGACAAAGTAAAATCCCAAATCAAATATTTGATTATCGTAAGTTGCAAATCATATGATCCTGATTGTGCAATAAAGAAAGGTGTGAATTCCAAAATTAATCCCCTAACTAGCTACTGAATTTCCCTCAAGGTTTGCCATTTGAGATGCAAATACCAGCACTTTTAGAGTTCAAAAGTGAGATTCCTAAGTGAAATGCTTATCTCTAAAGGATACTGGCTCTCTACATGCTTAATATTTTTGCAACTTAATACTAGAAATGGAAAATGCCATGTTTTCGCTTTAAATACAATGTCAATAGCAGAAAATTTAATGAAAATAATTGGGAGCTCATCAGTTTCTCCTTTAAGGTGTGGGTGGCTTTATTGTCAACATTTAGAAATTTATCACAAAGGACACAATAAGTAATCTCATTTTATAATCGTGGTCTTTGGAAATTCTTCACTAATTTATATCCACACATGCATTGTCTTGTTTCTCAATTTTTATTTGTATTTTCTAATAAATTCTAAACTTTCAATAGTGAGATATTATAAACATCAGCAACTTCTGAATGAGATTTTTATTTTTTGTCTTATTCTTGTTAATATAAAAAAGTAAAAACTTTATCGATATACTAAAATACAGATAAATGATAACATGCTTGAAATTGATGTTAACATTATAATGCATGTATATAAATTACATAAACCACATTGGTAAAATAGAAAATTAATTTGATTTAGAGTTGCTCAAAAAATGGTTTTGTAGCTCTATGTTTCACTTAGCACCTATATGAATTGTAAAATTTCTTATCTTTCATTTTGATCTGCAAATAAAAGTCTATATTACTCAACAAACAGACTGGTCATAGTGGTATATTACTAAATAAAAAATAAAATTATCTTCCTGGTAATTGAAAACAGTATACAACTTTCTCCTTTGCTTTTCCTCTAACCTCTAAATTTCTGAGGCAATAAGGAAATACATATTTATCTTCCCTAGTGAAAAATAGGAAATATGATTATTGATAGGTAACATTAAGCAAAACATCCTTTTTAGGAAATTGAACACTGTTGTTCATATAGTAATCTTATCATAAAAAAAGAAATGTGTGTTTTCAAGACAAATTAACCAATTCTAAATAATTTTAATGAGTAGTTTTGATCATATATGCTAAAAATAATTTCTAGTAATTTTGGTGGCTTTTTGTCTGATATTTTCCACAAACACTATTAAATCACTTTGATAATTTGAATATACAATGAAGTGCATAAAGATAAAATCCTACAGATATTTTGTCAAGTAGTTAAGTGCATAAGTACTGGAAGTTTTACCTCTTGCTAGTGACCAACATAAGAGGAAAAGAGAAACTAATAATTATTAACTACTATATAAATTGAATATGAAAAATGAGTGAAAATCTTCTACTAGAACAATGTAAAAAGCATCTATCCTACTTATAATAAAATTAGCATTAAATTTAGGAATATCTTTAGAAAACCCTCATTAGTACATAATTAAATGTTCAACAATTTAGGTGTAGATGAGATAAAATTTAAATAAATAAAACTCACCTTATCCACAATGCATATCTGCTTTCTCGTTTGAGCATCAAGTATTTCAATCTCAAAGTGAGTAGTTTTTGAATGTTTAACTGCTGGAGTTGATTTCAGAGGGCCTGCTGATAGTACAAGTTGAGACAAAGAATGAAAATTTTTTTTATCATTCTTCAATATGGACCATGTAGCTCCTTGGGAAAATAGTTCTTTCTTGCATTCCGAAGCAAGAGACTTATCCCTTTTGAACATTGTGTGAACTACCAGGAGAATCTGTCATGTCAGCGGGAGACACTTGCAAGTGTATTCCCTTGCACCAGTTAAATTACTGCTGGTGAAACCAGGAAAGGTCAAGTGGCATGCCATTCCAAGAGTTAAGTTTTATTTAGCAGGCTTAAAATAATAACTGATCTCCTTTCTATATATAACACTATTGTGAATTGCTGCATTTAAAGGATTATTCTACCAGCAGGGTTAAAATTATTTTTTGTTTAATTCTTTTTACACTGTTTCTTTTTTATTTCTTTTTTTTTTTTTGAGTAACTTTTTTTTTTAAAGATTTATTTATTTATTTGTTTGCTTATTTATTTATTTATTTATTCAAGCACTGGGTACAGTCAGAAGAGCGGGAGGCTGAGAGAATTCATCAGAGTCAGAGAGGAGAGCAGACCAGGCAGACTGACGAAGTACACTGCTGAGGGGAGCAGCGGGCAGCAGGAGAGGTCTGCGCGCCATGGGGACCCTCCTCCTTCTTTCCTTGCTTTATAATTTCGGATACAAGTTCCTCATAAGAAGAAGCAGTGTAAGGGTCTCCCCGTTGGTACAGCGGTTGAGCGCTGGGTTGCGAAGCTGCCCGCAGCCTCTGCAGAGCCAGTTCGATCCGGGGCTGCTCCCCGGCCACCAGAGGAGGGTCCCGCATGGCCCACAGACCTCTCCTGCCGCCCGCTGCTAGCCCGCTGCTCCCCTCAGCAGTGTACTTCGGTCCTTCTGCCTGCTCTGCTCCCTGCTCTGGCTCTGGTGAATTCTCTCACCTTCCCGCGCTTCTGATTGTACCCAGTGCTTGTATAAATAAATAAATAAATAAATCTTTAAAAAAAAAAAATTTCCCATTCCATTCTCTTCCCTGCTCCTGTCTCTATGAATTTGACTATCCAGTTTATATATAAAGCAATCTTATAATGTATGCCCTCTGTTATCTACTTTACTTCATTTAATTTAATGTCTTTAAGTTCAAGTGTTACACTTTCATTAGTTTGTTTTTTTTTTTCTTTCTTTCTTTCATTAGTTTTTAAGCCTTTTAAAATAATATTCCAGGGCCTCCCCGGTGCTACAGTGGTTGAGCGCTGGGCTGCTCTGAAGCTGCCCACAGCCTCTGCAGCGCTGGTTCATTCCTGGCCACTGGCGAGGGTTCAACCTGGCATGGAGACCTCTCCTGTAGCTCCCGCTGCTCCCTTCAGCAGTGTATTTTGTCAGTCTGCCTGTTCTGTTCCCTGCTCTGACTCTGGTGAATTCTCTCACTCTCCCAGGCTTCTAACTATACCCAGTGCTTGTATAAATAAAAATAAATAAATCTTTAAAAAAAAAAAACATATTCACAATGATATGTATTTAAAATCAGCATATGCTATCCTCTTAGGGGGAAAAGGATGTCCTAAAGCTAATTCCATACAGGCTTTGTGGACTCCACCCCCACTCTAGATCAAAGCCAAAAGACATTGGGAGAGACAAATCCCATACCACCAAAGGGAAGGTGCTGGAAACTGAGGGTGGGGTTAAGCAGCCAGGTTTGGTATAAAACCAGACACGTGGGCTTTGGGGAAATACCCTTTTTTTGGCTCTCAGCCAGCTCACAGCGCACGGCCAGCTCTGAGAATGCCATTGGGTTTCCAGGTCAGTGGATATGGTAGGACACATTAAAGATTTTATTTCCCCATTTTCTCCCTGAGTTGTACATTTCCTCAGTTCCCTTTCCCTTGTAAATAAACCTTTTATTAACCTTTTGTGCATGCCTGCAGTGGAGTATTAATAAGTCCCTTTTAAGCGCGCTGGTGAGGACCCACAGCAACCCGTTTTATATCGGGGCTGCTCCGTAACAATCCTATATAGTTAAATTTAAAAACAGTACTTTATTATGTAATATTTTTAAGGCTGACTATGGTAAAGACTTGTGTCATGCTTTGCTTATGTAATATAAAATATAACATCTGACACAAAATGATGACTTTTTCACTTCATATAGGGACTATATAGAAATAATTTTATAATTTAACAGGTCTCCCCTGGTGGCGCAGCGGTTGAGCACTGGGCTGTGAAGCTGCCTGAAGCCTCTGCAGTGCCAGTTCGATCCTCCTCCGGCGAGAGTCCCACATGACGTGCAGACCTCTCCTGCTGCGCCTGCTGTTCCCCTCAGCAGTGTACTTTGGTCCTTCTACCTGTTCTGCTTCCTGCTCTGGCTCTGGTGAATTCTCTCAGCCTCCTGTGCTTCTGACTGTACCCAGTGCTTGTATAAATAAATAAATAAATATTTAAAAAAAAAAGAAATAATTTTATAATTTAAGAAAAAGGAAATAAATCTTATTTTAACACTTCTACACATTTTATATCTTTGGAAAATCCTTTATTTTATATTCAAAAACAGCACTAAACATCACATTTACCATATCACTCACGTACAGCAAATGTAAATAATCTCAGAATGAACAAATAAAAAATAATAACTGAAAAAAGAGGATTATGAAAGATAATATCTTAAGTGCTTATACAATAAATCTTATACAATAAATACAATTGAAAGGAATTAAAAAATATATCATGACTGATTCAAAAGTATGTTATAGAAAAATATTCTGGGAAGTTGTCAATGAAAAGATCAAATATAAAATGACTGAAATTATAGAGAGGGAAATCTATAAATGTGTATGAGGTTTTAATTTTTATTTTTGTAATTAAATATTATTTAATTTCTAACTGCATATAATGCACTAAAATGAATTTGCACATTGTTCAGTTATTTTCATGCACGGAACCACTTCATACTTTTAATATTTAAAAAAATATTATTTAATATACAATATGTATTATAGCATATGATATGTGAATGCATTTACACACACATACTCACATGCAAACACACAAAGTTTTGTGCAATTTTATGGTGCCAATTGTTCAGGACTCAAAATTTGGAGTCAGTTTATATCTCTTTCTCCCAGACCTCAAATCTTACACTCAGATCTAGAAAATCAACTTCACATTTACGAACCCCATAGCTGTTTTCAAATCATCAATCTCACTTATATTTTTTTCCCCACAATGATCTCCCTGTATCGATAATGGCAAATATCTAGTATCTTTTAATACAGGAACTAGAGTGATAAGGCACTATATTAAAGCAGTTAATGCAATAATCTGTTCACCATAACAGTTTCTGCTTTATCTAAAGAAAAAGCCAAACTTTTCTACAAAAGTCTACAAATCTCTGAAACATAAATCATCCTGTTATATCTGATCTCATTCCCTAATCTATCTATAATGTCTCAAACAGAGTGTGGCATACAGTAGGTAATCAATAAGCATGTATTAAATAAATAGATGAAAAATCAATAAATGTGTCTTGAAGGTGTGAGCAGAATGATGTGACACTAATTGCATGTGGAAGTGAACTCTGATTATTATTTAAAATGACATAATTACAACCAATATTACTACTATTTAGGAATAGTGTTAATGTTTTTAAAAGAATTGTTGCTTTATCTTCAAGGCAAAGTATAATTTCTGGCATATAGTAAGTACTCTAATTGTTTTTGCAAGAACAAATAGTCACTTGAATGAATTATCCTCCGTAAATTGAAACAATCATACTGACTTAAAAATTAATAGTCACGAATATATGGAGGTAAATAAATTTATTTTTAGAGTCAAATGTTGAGGGCTAGCATAGAGAAAAACAGACTAGTACAAAAAGTAATACAGACTAGTACAAAGCAGCCAGTCAGCTGCTTTCACTGCCATCCAAAATAAAAAGCCCATCTTATATACCTTTATAACATGCAGGGTTTTGGTTTTTTTTTTTTTTTAATAGAAAAAATAAATCACACTAAAAGGGCAATTAAAGTGACAAAATAGTATTTATGCGTGCAGGCGTATGATAATTTTCTAACACCTCTGTGGAAAGGGACATGCAGGCTTGCATTCAGGAGATACTTATCTTTAAGCCAGACAAAACTTATGTGTGAAAAATGCAAGAACTAAGAGATAAAATTCATCACAAGAAATGTCTCCTTTTTCATTTGTTTGTGGACCTGTAGGCATGCTTCTCTAGGTGGTGTCAGCATAGACAGGGTGCTAGAACAGGGCACACAAAAACTTCAGGGCACTTCACAGTTGATAACTCTTCCTACTTTTCCTTGGGAAACTCTAAACTTCTGCAGGTTATTTTATCTGTACCCAAATTTGCAAATTTACTTCCATATTCATATATTACAATAAAGTAGTTACTAAAATTTAAGAACATTTTAGAAGTAAGAAGGAACTTATGATAAAAACGATACTTTTAATCTGTGCTTAATAAATCCTAGAAAACACTGAATATTGGGATTGGATGGGTACATGAGAATAAGTAGTCAAAGACATACCACTTGTACAGGATTTTTTTTTCTGTCAGTGCATATGAGAGAATCTTATATATACCAGGTACAGGGAATTGTAATTTAGAAAATTAAGAACAGAATAGCAAACTATATATCAAGGGGTGCTATTCTTGGACCCAGGCACATATGTTATAAAAGATGTGTTTAGGAAATGGCATTATTTATTGGAAATAGTAAGGGTTCAAATGTTCCTTGTCATCTCAAACTTCCCATTACCTGTCACATTTTGATAACATTATGAATTTAACACATAACTTATGAAATCGAATAGGGCAATGAATATATAAAATAAATAGAGAAGTTTCAAAAAAATAGAGGCCATTCAATATAAAGCTATAATTTAATATATAAATGTTGGCCTCTAACATCAGATCTATACCTTTTTTCACTCCATCAGCCTACTCAAGCATTTGAAGTATTCCTTCTCTACATTTTCAAACATAAATGGTTATAATACTGGTTCACAAGGAAATAAAATTTACTCATAGTAACTACACTGATGAGCAGTCAGAGTTCTAAACTAGTTCAGTTGAGTCCCCAAACAATCTGCAAGAATATTATCCTTTACTTATGTAAAGTTCATGTAGTCTTATTTTTCTCAATTTT